CCGGGCCAGGCCAGCTCCTCTCCTCTCTCCGTGGCCCGGCCTTCTTGGCAGCCGGACCCGGCTCCGGCACGAATCCCCCGGGCTTACAGCGCCTGAGGAAGGCCGCAGCCGCGCTCGCTGCAGACCCGGAGGAACCCGCCCTCCCGAAGCTCCCTCAGCAAGACCAACCGGGCCGAACCCACCTTGGAACCGGTGACACACGGCCGTTGGCGAAGGTCACGGAATGGAACTGCCGCTACCGCCGCGCAGGCCGCTGGGAAAAGAACCGCCAACGAGAGGAGTGCCTAGAACGTCTCCGGCGGTGCCCCTCCCCTTAGAGAAACGGGAGCGACAGGCACCCTAGCAGGCCCTGCTACCCCAGCTAAAGTGCGCTCTGCTTTCGCCTCAGCGCCCCCTGCCGGCAAGGACCCCTCAGCGCCCTTCGCCCACAGCGCCCCCCTGCCATGCAGCCTGCTCAGTGACCTACCTCCCGCAAGGCAATCCCTGCAAAGGAACCCGCGCTTCTCAACGCCCTGTCTTCTGTTGCGCCCCCTGCCGGGAGAAACCCGCTAAGCCCTCTGCCAATTGCCAAAAAGCCCGCTCGGTGCTCTGCCGTCCCCCCGGCACCCACTATTGCGGAAGAGCCCGCTCAGCGCCATGCCCGCCATTGCTCCCCCTGCTGACTAAGAGAGATCCCCCTCCAGTGTAGGAAATAGCTCAGGGCCCTGCCCTTCCCCTATAGCCCTTTGCTGGGGGGGGGGGGCACGCCCAGCTATTCCTTCAATGCGACTTCAACCCAGCGCAATATCCCCCCCTGCATTGCCCCGATGGAGAGGAACCCCAACAGCCCTTAGCCCCCTCCTGCGGGAGGGAGCACTGTACAACCTGTGTCCTGCGCGGCCTTCCCCAGGCAGTCTGGGGGATGGCTTGTCTTCGGGCAGGAGCGGGATTTGCCAGGTGGGAGTCATACGGGTTATGGGGTGTGTGTAACCTATGGCGGTGGTTAGGGGGATTTGCTGACGGTGGCTGCTGGGATTCAAGGAGGGAGGGGCGCATTACCCTGGGATGGGGGAGAGGTTGGCTGGGATGCAGGGAGGAGAGGGTGCGGTTGGTGCCCTTCTAGGTGTGGGAGGGGAGGACGCTGTAGTGGGGGCTCATCCTTGGCACCGCAGGAAGGATTTGGAGGGACCAAGGCGATGCGAAGGGAACCTCATTGAACGCAGCGCGGGAAACTGAGCAGCTCACGTCCTCGCCGCGGCTGCGCAGTGTGAGCACGTGGCTGCAGGGGGTGGGGTCGGGGCTGGGCGGAGCCGGGCGAGCGCGCGGAGTGCACGTGCCGGCGCCCCGTGAGGTGTGGTCCGGCCAACTGTTGCGGGAAGCCTCTAGTCCTTTCCTTTGCGGTCCCGGCCCCGCCATGCTGCGGAATCTCACCCTCGACCAGATCAGTGACTGGTTCACTCTCGGCAAGACGGTCACTAACGTCGAGTTACTGGGCGGTGAGCCTCAGGCCGCCGTGCCTGCCCCCCGCCGCGGCTCCAGGCCCCCCGCGTGGGAGCCGCCCGCCGCCGGGTGAGTGTAGGAGCCGCCCGGGGACGGGACGGGAGCGGTGCTGTGGTTTGACCCCGCCGCCGGGCCGGGATTATTCCCCTGCCACGGATCTGGAGTGGCCCGGCCCCACTGCCGCGGCTCTTTCCTTGGGCAGAGAGGTGGTGGGGAGCGGCCTGGGGATCAGCGCCCGCCAATAGAAAACTTCCTCTGCCGTGGTACAGCAGACGGGGACCTCTGGCCCGCCTGAGGCTCCTGAGCGGGGAAGGGGAAGGGGATGGCCTGGCCTCGCTGTGGGGCTTGAACTGGGTGTGGGCTAGTACTCGGGCAAAACTATCATGAGCCAAGACAGGCACAGATTTGAGAAACGTAGCCATGGGGTGGGAGCTCATGTAGAGTGAGGTTCTTGAGAGACCATTACTTACAAGAGTGAGGTTATCTTAGCACATTTTTTTGCCAGAAGATGTTAGTTCTCCACAAGCCACAAGGTGGGTAGCAGGTTTGTTAGCACTAATAGAGTTTTTCAGCCATTCAGTATGCTCCTGTTTATCCAATACCGTGTTACTTGAGGTTATCCAAACCTCCTCCCTGTTGTCTGAATCCCTTCCTTTTCCCATATGTAGTTCATGTTGAGGGTGGGGGAACACGGACTGTAGGGGGCAAAGAAGGGATTCAGATAACAGGGAGGTTTGGGTAATAGAGTAGGTACTCCGGCCAGGACTGTGAGGAGGAGGATGATGAGCCTGCCTCCCTAGCTGTGGGGGATGCCAGCCAGCCTGCAACTCTGATGTCGTGGGAGTGAGTGAGCAGGGCTGTGACAGGCTTTCTGTGCTGCCACAGTGCTGGTCACACCTGATCCTTGAAGGCTCCAGGTTCAAGGAAGGCTGTGGACTTGGCAGGGCAGAGTCCTGGCTCGCGGTTGGTCTCTGCTTCTCCAGAACCGCAGCCTTACCCCACATTGTGCCTGCAATAATCGAGAGGGCAGGAGTGGCAGCAAAGGGAGCCCTCTGCAGCCTGCTGTTACAGGAGTGAATGAGCAGGGCCATGACAGTGGAGCTGCGGAAGGCTTGCTGCCACTCCTGTACTTATCCAAACTCCCAGTTACCTGAATAAAATCTCTGTCCCCCATGCTGTTCCAATAATTGGGAGTATACTATACTCATAAATCTTTGTGTCTAACTGCGAATACTGTGCTGTTGATCTCATATTGTTTGAGGCTAGCCTTCTTTGGAAGCCCATGTTAGTTATGTACTGCAGCAGAATGATGGTTTGACCACTAAGTGATAGATTTTTCAGCCTTGATACCCTGACCTAACAAGGAAGTAGTTTTGAAACTCCTTTACCATTTTTAATTAGAAAATGGCAAAATAGAAAGATACCACTATTTAAGTGGACTCCCATAGCAAAGGTCTATTGCATGTGACCAAAATTTTCATCATATTAAAAAAATTAGTTTTGTTTTTTTTGAGCTACACCAGAGAGTGTCAATTCTGGAATGCTTAGTATAGCATGTCCAAGTCCTGGAATTGTAAACATTCAATTACTTTTCACTTTCTCTTGCAGAGAGAGAGCTCAAAGTATAACTTCTTGGGCATTTGACAATGGAAAAAAAAAAGTCCATCAAAAGGCTCAACAGGTTAATCCCCTCTCTTAGATCTCAGGAATCATAGGATATGCCCCTTTTGCTTCTTCCTACCAAAGTCTCCCTGTTCTCACACAGTCATCTCTCCCTGTGGAATTCCTGAGAATTGTAGGAAAGGAACTCTGCTTCTACAGACCTGAGTGTTGCATGATGTTGAGGCTAGAATGAGTGATCAGGAGGATGTTCACTCCCTTCCTTTGGACCTACTTGATATGCTCATTAGTTTCAGGAGGTTTTTTGTAGGGCTGCTGCCACTATGAGATGTAAGCTCATTGCGCCGCCCCCCCCCCCAGATATATCCACACAGCCTGTGGCAGTGAGTCTCGGAGCCTAGGTCGACAGACTTAAGCTTGTGCTGAGGTGCTACAAACAGTTGTGTAAACCTTGCAGCTCAGTCTCTAAAGCCCAAGTGCAGCTGTTTTAGTGCTTTAGCATGAGTCTGCATGTCTGACTTGCCTCTGGTTGTAGCCTAGATATACTCTCTGCGCCTTAGGATGCTTGTGAGGGTTCACTCTCGTTTCCCAGTGTTTGTCATAGAGTCTCCAATGAGTTACTAAATATTCTAAAGCTCAGAAGGTATGGGGAGGCCTGTTCCTATGTGTGTGGAAAACTATTCCATGTCTAGAGTTATAGGCAGTTATAGGAGTATAAGCTCTTAGGAAAATGCGCTCTTGGTTAACTAAACTTTCAGAAAAAAAGAAAAATTTTTTTAGACTGTCTTGCAAAGCACTAAATGAAGGCAGAAGATAGTGACCTTTATTGCATGAGTCTGTTTTCCAGTTAGTTTTTCGTACTTGGAATGTTCTTTGTATTTTCAAGCTTTTCAAAGTTTGAGTGTTTTAAAAATTCTAATGTGTTCTTGTTTTGTCTACTCAACCTTAACTTCATTGTAACCTTTATTTTTTAATCTGGAAATCTGTAAAAGAATATTTCTCAAAGCTTCAGTTGTCCTTTCTCTACGTGTTGAGGAATTCTATTGAAATGTCTTACTGGTATACTGTAGGAGGAGAATAAGCAGAGGAACTGTTTCTCCATAGTGCCTTTGTGAAAAGACACTTAGAATTGGAGCCAATTTTTCTTTTTTAATGGTGTGACAGACTAACAAAAGAAAAGAACATCTGGAGGAAGAAGCTTTTTGTGTAACAAAAGTGTGCAGAAATCTTCCTTCTGTGATGGTGGGAGTCAAATCTAGCCCTGTCACAGTTGCAGCAAAAGTGGGTTTTTGCATCATGTTCATTGATTTTTCTGCTCTAATTGTGCCAGTTGAGGCCACAGTTACTACATGTCAGTTGAGTCTAATACAACTTTATTATGATCCCATATTGATGGCTTGGGGCAACAACTAAAATTGAGACTTTTATGTCTGTTTTTTTAAATTTCAAATGCTCAAGTAATGTATAACTTCTGGAACAAGTTTTCAGACTCATTCACCGCTACAGAAAGCTGATTCTGTAAGATACCAAAATCACAAAGTTATTCTGCAGCCCTGATTAAGAATTAACTTTTTCCAAGAAAAGCAAGGAGATGAAGTAAAACCATTTTTATTTTGAAATAAAAAGGTATCTCTAAGTCTTTTCAACGAGCCACTAAAGCTAGTTAAATATCCAGGTCGTTTCTCTTCATTTGAGGAGCTTTGCAGTATTGCAACATATGCAGAAAACAGTTCAGAAAACTAACCATAAGCAGTACAGACAATGTTATAACTTTTGATTATTTTTACAAGTTCTTGTTGGACTTGTGAAATAGTTTTCATCATCAGAACTTCTCAGTTATATTGAATAAATTGAGTACTGTTTTAAAGCATACCTCACACACTGTATATTGTTTCCTAAGAAGAATTTCAAAAAACTATGTAGACTACTGAACAGAAGTCCCTGCTAACATTTTGCACAGTGATCGGATTTTGAAATATGGAAAATGGCTATTGCTTGTTACAGTAGATGTTATAGGTACAGTACAAATAGGATAGTTTCAACATTTTTGGAAAGATCTACGGTTATATTTTTCATATCTTTATATTAAAAGGTGCCCTTAAACACAACATCCTTGGAATAGTAATGGTAAAAAGGCTAATGATTTTAATTAAAGTTTGTAAAATGTATAGATACTATAATTAGGGATTTAAAATTCTGAGCTTGCAACAAAGGGGAGCATGCCATATTTCTTATTCCTATATGTTTTTACGTCTCTGAATTGGGATGATAAAAGGGAACTCAGATAACTGAAGAAAAATTTTAACTTGATGGATAGTAATGTGGAAGATTCCAGATTCGGTGAGAAAAAGTGGGAAACATGCTCTGTGTATTTTTGTCAACGTAACTTGAAACTGTGGGAATTTCATCTTTGTCCGATTTGTTAGAGCTGTAACCAGGCACTGTGAAATGTTCAGAGCAATTTGTATTCCATACATCTACCAGTTGGTCTTGTTGGTTTTCCTTCTCAGTTGTAGTTAGAAAATCTTTTAAAACTTGCTTGAATATGTAGACTATTTCCCATGGTAAGACATCATTTTCTGCCAAAACTTCACGAAATCTAGAAACAAAAAAAGAATTGAAATGTAATTTGTCAGTGCTGAAAACTATTCCAGAACACTTTTCCTCCTCTTCCTTTTTTTAGGGGAAAAAAACTACTTTCTGGCCTCACTTGTTTCCTTTATTCCAAAAAAAGAAGAGAAAAATAAAAAAGCTCCTACAATGCATTTGGATGCAGTACAGCTGTTAAGATCGGTGGATACTATTTTTTTTTTTTTTTTTTTTGTATTAAGCTGTCTTGGTAAATTGATTTAAACTGACTTTGCCCTCAAGTATTTTTTGGGCTTTAAAGGGATCATAGGTTTGTTCTATTCTTCCCACTCAGCCCAGGAAACTATATAAAAATATATCATTTGGGGAATTTACATATAAAATATCACGTAGAAAAAGTTAATTATTGATGTGTGTTTTAACTAAATGTTGGGACATGCTTAATTACAATCCCTTTAAAATGTGAAGAGACTGGAGGCTTGTATATAAAATATTGTGTTAATACTCTAACTCAATTCTGTGGTCATCAGGTAAATGATGGGTGTCAGATGTCTAAGCATTATATTATCTCTCTGGTGCTTTGAAGATCATGCAATAAAAATATAGAAGACCTTTAGTCAGTGTACTGTGTTATGAAATTAAAGAGTTATTTCTAGAGAAGCTATAGGAAGCTATACAAATAAGTCTTCATTTAAATTCCTAATCATTGTTACTTTGGGGAAAAAAACACCACCAAATTTTAACAACTTTGAATTGGAATGTTGAACAAGAATAAGGAGAACTTAATTGTTGCCTAGAAAGTGACAATTACAGTAACAAGAAAGAAAAATTGTTACCTGCTAAGAACAGTTCCAGTTTGGCAAGGTTGAATTTGTGAACAAAGGACTTCAAGCTGCCTTTGTTCAGTAGCTGGGATTGTGGCTTGAGGATTTTGGTAGTTCTTCAGCCAGTTGTAATCCACACCATTTTTCTGGACTCTTTGTTCATTTTCAATCTCTTGTACTAATCTTTCACGCTCTTTCAGGTGCCATTTCAATTCCCTCAGCAGGGTCTTGGTCACTACTTCTGAGCCAGGATATTTGGCAGATTTGTAGGAATCATTTTTTGACCATTTCATCCAACCAAAAAGTGGCATTTTTTAGCTATGAGAAGATTGAACATTATAGTGCTTTGTATGGTAAACTGTAGTGTTTGTTTTCCATGAAAAAGATTAATGGAAAATTCAGAATGCTTTTTGTGGTGCGTTTGATATAGATATGCATATGCTCAATGTTAAAATAGTTTTTTAATACACTTTAAGAAGTAACTGATCAAAGCCTCCAAACTCAAATTAAATATGACATGTTACCATTTTTAAAAAGATGGAAAGAGACTGTTGTAGCAGTTTATCTCTTCGGTAGTTTTATCTGCACCATTAAATCATACTAAAATTTACTAGACTTTGAAACTGAATTGTCATCCTTAGTAGAAAATATCATTTGATAAATTGTTACCCTGAAATGCTTTTAATATATGATGATCAAAATGATAAATTTTCAGTTAAAGGAATTCCTAAGCAGTTGTTGTTCAATATTTAGAGATAGGTAGTGTGATTCTGCATTTGTCACTCTTTAAAATCCCATACCTGTATTTTATTTTAAATACATTTTTCTTATTTACTCATTAGCATCTGGAAAACTGTAACAGAAATTAAATTATATATTTTTGTTATATAGGTGTAACTTTTAGTCACATTTATTACAAAACAGTACACTAACTTGGGTAAAATAACATACTGTACCTTTGATGCACTTGTTTGTGAACCAGTTGTTGCGGTTGAGTTTGCTTGAATTGAGATCTCTTCTTATTCTAGCATACTCAGTTTCTGAGCTGTAGCCACTATTGAAAGAAAAAAAGTTTTCCCAATTTACTCACTTAAACTGTGCTTGGAAGAATAACTGTCTGGACTGAGCATGAGATTTCGATTCCTTCTGCTTTTAAGTTTAATTCATCTTGTAATGTAGAGAGAAATCCTGTTGACCTAGCATTGGCAACTAAGTATTTTCCACAGAGTCCATTAAGGTCTCCTACCTTTGAATTGAGTTCTGCCTATGGCAGCAATTTAAAAAAAGATGGCAGCGATTTCAGATGCTTTTTGCTAAATACATCCAAAGGTATTGTTGGTCGTCAGACGAATAACAATATCTGAAGCAACTACAGATGCGCTTCTAGCTAAAGTTAAGACTGTCGCATGATGTGGTGATTGGCTGTGCATAGCTGTAGGTCAGAATTTGGTGCTGTATTTTTATACCTTTAGAGCGCTAAAAATAACTGTTCCTTTTATTGTCTGTCTAAACTTTCAGGTCTTAGATGCTAAAGATTTTTCGTATTCTGTTAGTTTGGGGGAAATATATATGAGGCTGTTTCTTTACAGTTGTAAATGTGTAACAGTAATCATTTTCTGGTGAGATCTTGTGAAAGCTCTCTTAACTGAGCAGTGACAGTAAAAAGCAACTTACAAGGTAGTTGCTCAGAGATTTTTAGGCTATCATAATACTCTGTTTTCTGATGAATTTCATCTCATGGCATTAAAACTGTTTTTAGTTGTAGAGTTTAGCTGTTAGCATTTTTAATTATCATTTCAGATGTAGTTAAAGAAGCAACTTCGCACCACTACAGTACCCCATGGAAAATATATTAATCTAATTATAATGAATAAAGGGTTAGAACAATGGCGTAAATTAAACTCAGACTGAAGTAAAAACAGGATTTTAAGTCTTACCATAGACTTTTTTTTCTCCCTTAACTGAATGTGAATCTCTTGTTCTTTTTTCTTGTTGATTATATTGAAAATATCCACTTCAAGTTTCATTTTCAGGGATGATATTGTGCATGCTAAAGGTCGCTGAAGCAGCCATTTTCCGTTCCAGTTATCAGGTCTGTTCCTATTAATCTAAACAGCAGGCATGATATATAAAATGCCTTCTGTTCTTCTCTCTGTATTGTTTGTTTTAGTGACTCTCTCTTCTGCTGTAAGTATTGTTCTCTCCTGCTTTTACCTCTCCACTGTTTTGTTGAATTGTTGGAAGAACAGGGATTGTGTAAAACTGTTCCAAATGTCATGCAATATAAAGGATGACGTGTATGGCTGTTATTAAAGCTGATACTACTTAAACATTGGAAAAATTCAGATGTCAGCATTAATCATCTTCAACTGGAAGGTTTTCACATTGCATTGTATATGGTACTATGAAAAAGAAAAGAGCTGGGCTTATAATGACAGAACTGTCGTCACAAATTTTCAGTTGAAATTAAAATGTTTCCTGCCACCTCTCTTCCAGTACAGTTAGTGTGTCACCACTTTTTTTTCGAAAAGTATATCAGATTGTATTGTATCAGAAAATAAACTGTTGTACAATACCTGGGCAATATAAACTTTAAAAAGCAAGAAGGTGAATACTGGAAGATACATGACTTTAAAACCATAGTGAGCAGCAGTCTTTAAAGATATTGTATCTACAATGCTTTGCTTGTTACCTTAATGTATTTTGTGGGGATGTAAATTGAAAATGTTCTTTAACATTGCATTGACATAAAACAGTGAAACTCAGCATCCATACTATATATGCCTTCATATAAACTTCAAATCCCTATTCAGTGAGGCTTTGAATTAGGGATGATTCAAAGCAGATCAATAGTTAATCTAGTCTGATATCCAGTGGCCAATCCTGAATGCTTCCTCGGGAGGCATAATTCCCCCCACTTACTACAGTACCATTAGGTGGACATTTGTGCTTGGCCTCAGCTGGTAAATTGGCTTATACCCTGAAGTATTAAGGAATTTTATCCTAATTAGTAAATTAGAGAATAAATTCTTATTAAAAATTATTACGTTGTTTGCCTCAATGATATCCTTCACATAGTTCCATAGTTAAATTACACATGGCACAAAGTATTTCCTTCTTAACATTAAATTTGTGGCCATTTAATTGTGAGTGCTCGCTGGTTCTTATCTTATTGGCAATAGATGCATCTAACTGGCTTTTTCGAGATCATTATGTTAGCAATCTGTACTATCTCTCCTCACTCTTGTTTTTCCTTCCTCACTTAGTAGACCTAGGGAAAAATTTTCAAAAGCACTTAAATCACACTTTCAAAAGTAATTTAGGCACTTAGATATCATTGACTTTAAGACTTAGGAGCCTAAGTCACTTCTGGAAATGGGACTTAAGTGCTTCTGAAAATTTTACCCTTAGTCCTTTAACCCCCTTCTCTTCACCCATCCCTGAATCAGTACATTTTAACCATTTTCATTATCCTTCTCTGAATCTTTCTTGGTCATTTTTAAGATACAATGACCAAAACTGTGTATAATACTTAGGTGAAACCATACCATCAGTTGATAAAATTCTGTATATTTTTCCTATCTCTTGCTCAATACAGCACAATTTACTTTGGTGCTGCAGATTGAGCATGTGCCTTCAGTTAGTTTTCCACAATATTTTAGCTCTTTCCTGAGATAAACTCATCAGTGTATAGAAAAATCTCAAATTGTAGTCTTACCTTGAAGTAAGTAGTAAAGTAGTCTTACCTTTCTTTTCTCTAGCTTCATCTGCCCGTTGTGTTGCCCAGTTATCTAGTTTGCTTAGGTTCTTCAGGAATTGATCACAATCCTTCCTATAAATTTACTAATTTAAGTTCTGTAATCAAATTGTTACCACACCATTCACCCCCTTTTCTAGATCACAGTAAATGTATGGAAAACTATTTCTAGTATTTTACTTGGGGTGCCCCACTGTTATACATGCGGTGAATTGACTATGTACTTATCCATTCCTGCTTCTCCATTTTAATTAATAATAGCCCTTTCTGAACTTCAGTAGTAGCTCCTCCTGTTACGCAGATTAGGCCAGAAGGTAGCCAGTCACCTTTTGGACTCAATAGTCTTCTCTCCCATCTCCATTTCCTAGATTTCCTCTTGACTTGTTTAGCCGGGCAATTGTGTGTTTGTTTGGTCACTCGCTCGCAGCAAGAAGTGCAAGTGCCAGAGTGAACTACTTTTTTGAATCTCTTCAAGCAGTTTTGATAAGATCCTTCATTATGAATGTGTTGATCAGAATTGGTCCCAGTACAGACCCCAGGGGCCATCACTATTTACCTCTCTCCATTCTGAAAACTGACCATTTATTCCTACCCTTTGTCTCCTGTTTTTTAACCACTTACTGATCCATGAGAGGACCTTCCGTCTTATCCCATGACTGCTTACTTTGCTTAAGAGCCTTTGGAGAGGGACTGTATTAAAGGCTTTTTAAAAGTCCAAGTATGCTATATCCACTGGATCACCGTTATCGACATGCTTGTTGACCCCCACAGAAAATTCTAGTAGATTGTTGAGGCATGATTTCCCTTTTCAAAATCCATGTTGCCTCTTACCCCAACAAATCATGTTCTTCTGTGTGTCTGATAATTCTGTTCTTTGCTATAGTTTCAACCAGTTTGCCTGGTACTGAAGTTAGGCTTACCGGCCTGTAATTGCCAGGATTGGCTCTTGAGCCTTTTTGAAAAATTGGCATCACATTAGCTATCCTCCAGTCATCTGGTACAGAAGCTGATTTAAATTATAGGTTATATACCACAGTTAGTAGTTCTGCAATTTCACATTTGAGTTCCTTCAGAACTCTTGGGTGAATGCCATCTGGTCCTGGTGACTTATTACTATTTAATTGACCAGTTTGTTCCAAAACCTTCTCTTAATGACACCTCAATCTGGGACAGTTGCTCAGGTTTGGGAATCTCCCTCACATCCTCAGCCTTGAAGACTGATTCAAAGAATTCATTTAGTTTCTCTGCAATGGTCTTACTGTCCTTGAGTAGTCTTTTAGCATTTTAATTGTCCAGTGGCCCCACTGATTGCTTAGCAGGCTTCCTGCTTCTGGTGTACTTAAATTTTTTTTTTTTTTTTTTGCTGTTACTTTTTGAGTCTTTGGCTAGCTGTTCTTCAAATTCTTTTTTGGCCTTCCTAATTATATTTTTACACCTCACTTGCCAGAGTTTATGCTCTTTTCTATTTTCCTCAATAGGATTTGACTTCCAATTTTTAAAGGATGCGTTTTTGCCTCTAACCACTTCTTTTACTTTGGTGGCACTTTTTTGGTCCTCTGTGTTTTTTTTAATTTGAGGTATACATTTAATTTGAGTCTCAATTATAGTGTCTGCAGTGTTGGTAATGGACGCTTCAGTATTATAATCCAAGGCCTTTAGACACTAACCTTCATGTAGCTGTTTTGGAATTTAGCACAGTCTGCCAGGCCTACAAAGTTAGCATTCCTTCCCAGGGCTTGATTTAGGCTGAGTTACACTTAACTTAGAAGTCTGCTACTTTGTTCTCTAGGATCACTTTTTGTTTTATGAAAGTTTCTTGGCTTTATGCTTGTGAAGAAGACCATGTAAAGATGAACAGTGTGTACCCACTATATAGATGTCTGCAGAGAGTCCGAAACGATAGCTTGAGAGGGGGAAACTGCTCTGTGCATCTCTATGATGGATTAATTTGTATGGTGAGTTACAGTAATTGAAATGTAAACATTTCAATGATTTGACCTATTAAAGCATGTAAGAAAGGAGAGGGACAATTATGGTATGAAGGGTTACACAGCCTGCTGTGACAGCTCATTTTAGTATCCTGAGTGAGTAGTTCATGAGCGAATACTGTTGCTCTTCCAAATTGTCCTGTGGAACCAAAAGACCAGAGGAGAAAAGATGGAGCCCAGAGATCACAAAGGGGAAGCCAATTCCACAGAGCTCAGCAGGGTATGCCAAGATTCCGCTGATCACAAAGGTCATCCTTCCCTCCCAAACGTCTTTAAGTAGCAGGGGTGTTGCCTGCTATTGTGGTGAGTGTGTGGCTTTCTCCTTGGAGTTAGTGGCTGCTACTCTTTCTTTTGCTGTAGAGTTGGCAGGATACAGAAGGTCTCAAAGAACTATTGTTATAGTAAAAAGCTGTTATTTTTCAGACACTGAAACTAAATTGTTTTGTCTGAAACCAAAAGTTTTCTTTTCCATTCTTCAAAATATAAATATTGTGGTGGGGTTTGGTTTTTGGTGCTTATACTTCAACTGAAACGTGTAGTTGTGCCAATGGACTTTTTTTTGACTTAACTTTCCTCCTCTTAGGAAATTACAAGTAACTAGCATGAGAAACATCTGTTCAGTCATTTAATATTTTTAAATATAAAGCTTTTTATTTTGAGAAAATGGTATGTCTTTTAAATTTTGAAAAATCCATTGTTACAGAGCCTTAGGGAGTTCAGAGCATAAAACTCATTGACTCTTAAAAATCCTTACCTTAATTCAGCTTTTATATTGTGTAACTCAGTGTTTGATGGCTACACTGCCCTAATTCAGAACAGTAATATTTCCACTAGTGGCTTCCTGTTGTAGTGCTACCATTTTCAGTTTTTTTTTTATTTAGAATGTAAATATAAAGCCCTGAAGCTGAATTTCTAAAATCATTCTGCATGCCTTATAGGATTGAGTATTAGGACTTTTGACTGGCTGTACATTTTCTTTTAAGTTAGCATATCTTTGTAGTTAAGATTACAAACTCAAAGTATTGAATATCAACTGCCAGTAAAAGGAAAGACACTTTTATTGTGACCTTCAGCAAACCCTAGTTGAAGGTTATTCGCTGTTATAGCAAATGTTCAGTTATGTAAAGTGTCACATTATTTTAGCTTCAGAAAAGAGGCCATGAAACAGTCTGTGTATTATACTAAAATTTTAAAGTAGTAGTACTGCTCCCTATACAACAATTCCTTTGCAGCTTTAGGTTTCTGTCCTTTTTTTCTGAGGTTTGTGTGAAGAGGAGAAAAGAGGAAGCTATGCTACTGGGAGAGAAGCGGGAGAGCATTCTTGTACTGGATAGCAACAACTTAGTTCAGACCATTTCTTTTTTGATCTAGAAAGTGAATCACATTAGTTTTTAAGTATAACTCTTAGTCCCATACTAACAGCAGTGTTCTGGTGAATGAAATATGGAAATTAAAGTGGGAAAAATAAGTGTATCAGAAACATGACAGTAAAGTGTTTTTTGTAAACCTCAT